TGAACCTTGGGTTCCACACCACTATCCTATAGACACGTGGCACATGAAGGGTTTAGGTTCCATTTTGTGTTATCCTATGGTAAATCAAATGTATTTTTTGTTACAATGATGTTTTATAGATTGTAGTGGCTTTTGAAGTCCCTTTTTTCAGTTTGATTTGAGGTTGGTTTAGACTATACTTAACCAAAGAAAATGACTCAAGATACATTCTATAAAGTTCAAATATAAAGAAAATAAATCTATGAACAGAAATGCATCTCCTTTTCGAATTAGTTAAGAGTATTAGTATATTTGAGATCTTTAGGTTTGAGTAGTATTAGGTTGGATGACTTCTTAGGAAATCTAAATTCAGAAGTTTACATTTTGTATTAAAGGGGTTTTAAGTTTGACTTTGTTGGTTAATTAAGGGAATCATAAGGGTCTCATGTTTGATTGTGTTGGTTAGCTAATAGAATTATACCATATATTGATATTGATATATAGTGGTTCAATTTACTCTAGTTGGGCTTGACTCGAGGAGTAGAATGTCAAGAGAGTTGCAACTTTGAACTTTCATTCACACAGGCATAAACTTGCAAAGAAATATGATGAATTATAAGTAATCAAAGAGAACAACTCAAAAAATAATCTATAGAACTAAAGTGCATTTTCATTTTCAATTGGTTAAAGGTCTTGAGATACTTAAGGTTAAACATCCTTGGGTTATAAGAGCTTAGATGACCATTTTATTGCTACATACAAAGTTGTAATTGGTTCATCAGGATTCTGTAGTTGGCTAATACATGTAATACATGTATTACATTATGTAAGTAATAGATTAATTAATAGTACTATAACATATGGATCGTCCATTTAGAACTAAATCTAGTTCATCCATTCTCATATATAAGCAAGGGGTTAAACCCAAATTAAGGTACCTATTCCCAAATCCTGAGCATTCATAATTTTATGTTAAAAAATGTCTAATACACTTTATTTTAATATCTAATACATATTTCCTATTTTAGGGTAAATGGTTTTCTAGGGCACCTATTATAACTAAGACTACCACACTTCTTCAATTCCACCACATCCACCTCTTAAAAGAGTGGCTTTGGCAGATTAGGCAATTGCACATGATGGTGCTGCTGTCTATGTATGCTTGGTCTTGTGTGAAAGCCATATGGCCAGCCAAATAGTTTTCTAGGGTACCCCTGGAAAATCATTAATGGTTTTTACATCATTTTGTTTTTTAGAAAACAAGATCATCACTAGCTTGTTTGTATGCAATAGTGGATAAACATAATGCATGTTAATTCAAACAAATTCTCACCTTTTATAAATAAAAAAAGTTTTAAACACATGTTTTCTACTTACTTTTTCAATATATAATTACATCAGGCTACTATACAATTTCTGGCATAAAGTGGGAAATCTCCATGTTATAAACAATAAAGAGAAAGAGGCTTAGGTAGGCTACCTTTTGAAGTTCATTGTTATCACTTGTAAACCTTTAGAGGTACAAGAGAAACTTGGAAATTGCAAACATACTTTTTGGAACCTCCAGGATCTTCCCTTCAACAAACTTTGTGATCTACAATACCTCCACAAATGCAAACTTTACACCAAGAGGTTACAAGCAAAATTTGGCGTTTATGGTATTCCTGAATTAGCCTTGGTTCAGCTGTGTTACCCACATTAGAGGGGAGTTAACATAGCTCAAATGTCTCCTTCCATTTAACAAGTCATACAATTGGCTTTGAATGCAGACCTCAAATACAAGGAGTGGGAGTTGATGAGCAAAGAATGCTCTGATTGGCCTCGTTTACAACCTCGGCATGTGACAGGAGACTTCATATTCAGCAAGTCCTCAAGAAATTGCCATCTACCATAGGGAAACAAGTGTCAATTCCATCAACTTCACTTCCTCCCCAAGAGTGGCTAAAACTAATAGACAATATGAAGTTGGACAAGTGTTTTGATTGTAGAGCAAAGGGACATAGATAGGTTTGTAAGTCTTATATAGGTCAGCAATAAGGAGCAAGCATGAGCAGGTTGACGAGCATTTCAACAAAATGGTGAGGGAAATCTCATTCCAGTTGCTTTTGAGGATTTGGATTTGGAGTAAGAGATTTTCGTTTAGGAGGGAAAATTTCTGTCTCAAGCTCCTGGGGAAGAAGCCACATTGGGAGCCACCATTTCATTGCCTAGGAAAACAGGACTCAAGTGCATTTGGGTAAAAGGGGCAGTCTTAGGTTGTAAAGCACATTGGTAAACTTAGGAGCTTCACATTCCTTTGTGACTGCTCATAGCTTTGGTTGATAACCAAGCCAGCTCTCATTGGGGATCACACATTGAATCAAGTTAGAATCACTCTCTATTGCAGTTAACTCTTCAATAATTCATCTTAGCCCATTTGCATCACATGTGCTTCTTGTTCTTAAGGACTGTTTGTGGAGGATTACAGGGCTCTTAACAGGAGAGCTGTCAAGAACAAGCTTCCTGTTCCCAGGGTAAATGAGCTTTTGGATGAGGCAGTACCAAGATTGACCTTTGTTTTGGTTAATATGAGATTGCCATAAGGCCAAGACAATGTTCAGGACTCACTGTTGAGGTTTGTTTCATTTCAAAGTAATGCCCTCTGGCCTTACTAATGTGCCTGCCATGTTCATGAACAAGCTTTTGGCTAAGTATCTTTTCCAGTTCATTATCGTTTTGTTCATGACATACTAATCTATAGTCAGGACTGGATTGGAAAATGGTGTTATCAATTTTGGAGAGCAATATTTACAAAGTTATTCATGTGTTCTTTGGGAATGGAGACCATTCAATACCTCAGATTTTGGTAAGGTATGGGCTGATCAATCAAAATTACAAGTTGTTGCAAATTGGCCACTTCCCAAGTCTTTAAAGCATTTACAAGTATTTTATGGTTTTGCCAACTATCTATGTTGCTTTATATTGTGACCCCATTTGGCAATATTTCCTGCTCTTCTATGGTCAGATGCAGCACAATCGTTTGAGTTGTTGAAGTAACGACTTCTAACTGCACCATTACTTTCACTTTCAGATTCCTTGGAACCATTTATTGTTAAGATTGATACTTCAGATATGAGTGGTTCTTCGCCAAGGAGAGGAAATAGTGGCCTTTGATAGTCATAGTTTCTCTATTTATGAGTCTAAAATACCAGTGTATGAACAAGAAAGGTGGCCATTATCCATGCCATTGGTCACTAGTGCCACTACTTATTGCCTCAATGGTTTACACTCAGGACAGACCATTATAGCTTGAAATTCATTTTGGAGTAACAACAGTTATCCAAAAAGTAATAACACTAGGTGGAACAACTTCAAGCCTTGGATTTCACTATGAAGTTCTGGCTAGGGAAAAGCATTCTTCCATAGGCATTATCACAACAATTTGAATGTCTCAAAGTGTTAACGTTCTCTAGTATTTCCAGATGGGAAGCAACGTATGTGAATAAGATTCTACTCACTAGATTTGACACTATTGGGTATTTGGCAACAGTTCTGTGACAATCCCGATTATACAGATGACAAGCTGACATTTCATAAGAACTTATTATGGCGGTCTTATAGTTCTCAGTTCAAGTCGTGATTTAAGCAAGGAGATCTTTCAGGAGTGTCATGCAAGCATTCTGGCACCCTGATGTTTGGAGAACAACAACTGCAATCAAATAATGGTTTTACATATTTGAAAGGTTTGCAACTGGACACATATCTGTTCTACCTATCAAACATAGAAAGGTCTTTTGGTTCCATTACCAGCTGCCTCTTCATCCAAATAGTATTTCAATGGACTTTATTGTGGGCATCCCTTCAGTGCATAGCCATGATGCTATTTTTGTAGTGGTGGACAGTTTTTCTCCCTACATCTTCAACAAGCTCAGCACATCAGAAAGCTGAATCCTTTTGGTCTGAGGTAGTCCAGCATCACGGTTTTCCATGGAGCACCCATAGCTCCAGCTCACACTGTCTTCAACATAGACAATAAGCATAGCTGAAATAATCGCCCCAACCATCATGGACATGTAATAGCAGCTGAAGAAGGTGCTGGCCTGCTTCTGTTCAAGAGGATCCTCCTTATCAAACTGATTGCCTCTGAACGATGAGATGCAAGGCTGATATCCTCCATAACCCACGGCTACTGTGTAAAGTCCAAGATCTAGAAGCGCTTCTTGTTCCAATGTGCTAACAGAGCATTTTGACACATTCGTTTCACAAGGAGAAGGTTTTAGCAAGGGCAGAGTTATGTGACTGTAAGTACCACCATTCCTTGAATGATAACAGGTTAGGGAATGAGATTTTATTCTCAACCTCTTCCCAGAAGGTAAATATGAAATTTGTAAATTTGTACGGAATCCACCCAGCAAGGAACTGAGGTTTCCATGGAATTAAGAACGGCATTAGCTGCTTCTGAAATATGCTTATGTAGTACACTACTGAGATAGAGAATTAAGTTAGTCCAAACAGAAGCAAATGTTTGAGTTCCTCAAAGTTAAACTAAGAACAGTTCCAACATAACCCCAAATATATCGAGATGTGGCAGGCCAATTGGTTGTTGCATCCTTCCATTCCACAAGAAACAAGGATCAGCCCAGCACTAATAAAGAAATAAAGGATTGCAACTGCTCTGTTATAATTCCTCAGCCGCATTATTAGCAGGCCCTTGTCTGCATCAGGAATCGTGACAGATAAAAAAGTCCCCGATTGTGCATCTAGCCTCTACAACATTCTAGAAAGACCTTGCCAGACTCCAGTTTTCAATTCACTTTCCAGAAGCCTGATCGCGCTCCACAAAACGCCACATAAGAACCCTAGCTGAAGGCGGGAGAATGTTTAAACTTTAGAGCTTGTGTTTCATGGATCTTTTATTTTGTTATCCAGACATCAGAACACGTCTCGAAACAAATACCGTCGTCCAGAATAGGTCATGGAGAAGCTCCAACCTTTGCTGAACCTGTCCCCCAGAAGGTCTACAATACTGACTCACTGGCCTGTTTTTCTGCTGGTGGAAATTTTGCAACCCGTGTTTGAACTTAACTTCTAAATAAGTTTATGTGATCATGGGAGTATGAAGCTGGTAATCTGATCGTGCACGACAGTTCCAAACCAGATCTTCCCATCTTTTTCATACACTTCGCTTATAAGTTTCACGATCCGGGCCTCGCGGTCTTCCAGCCGCCGGAGCAACCGCCCCCGCTTGTCAAACAGCGCCGCAACTGAGTACATCTTCTCCCCGACTACGTACATGATCCAGCTCAAGGGAACCGGCACCCGGAACACGAGCGACTTTAGCCACGGAGTGGAGCTCATGATCTCCTGGATCCTGTTTCGGCAGCAGTCGATGGCCACCCAGAACTGGCCCTTGTCGTTGATACGAACGTTGTCAGGATAGCCGGGAAGATCAGCGAAAACTTCGAGAGTTCCAGTTAAGTTACCTTTGAGCCATAACTTGAGAACCCTGTCAAGAACACGAGCAAAGTTTTTTAAGAGAAGCTACTGATGCCATATCAAAATACAACAAGATCAATATGTATAACCTGCAATTGGTTGTCTCGACTACCAGGAGGAAAGATTGATCGCTTGCGAGCTGGACTCCGTTAGCAAATGCTAGGCCGCGAAGAACCACCACGGCGTTGCCTGTGTTTGGATCATACCGAAGTAGACGGCCTGTATTCTCTCCTTCAACGATCACCATGTGATGTAACCTGTATTGAAATGGAAAGAAAAAAGAGCAAGAAAAAGAAGCCATAGTAAAAAGAGTGTTAAAAAAACATTTCTGGCAAAAAACTGCGACTCAAAGAGCATGGAAGACCAGCTATACAAAGAACAAGAAAAAGAGCAAAGTGTCATGGAAGTTGAAGAAAGAAACTCTCCAAGAACAAAGACCCGAAGTGGAAAATGAAAAGAACCTGCGATTCCAGCGCGTGCTTGTGTCGGTAAAGTAGACGGATCCATTGGGATGAACATCGAGATCGTTGGCAAACTTGATAGGAATCCCTTCCACCTCGCTCACCAGAGGTCTCGCAATCCCACCCTTGGGGCCAACAACGAGCAAACCATAGTAAGAATCGGCAATGTAGAGATCGCCCGAGCGAGGATCGAAGCGCAATCCCAGCGGCCTGCCACAGACGTGCTCGTTCCTCACCCGCCGTCGCGGATCGTCTCCATTGTCGCATTCTTCCCTGTTCCTGCAAAGAAAGAAGATGAAGAACCCCACCCTAGAAAATATTTTGCTTACCAGTTGATCGATGAGAGGGCAAACGTTTCCCATCCGCGATCCGGCATCCAGCGAACGATCCGGCCATCGCCCAGCCCAGTGTAAGGCCCATTCCCCTGTGGATCGAACTCGATGCTCTCGGGGCCGAAGAGGCGATCCTGGAACTCGATGCTTGCGAATTGGAGCAAGCTATCGTTGCGCGATGGCCACTTGGGCAGGACGCTCTTAAGAGGAGCGATCTGGTGCTTCACGGGGTAGTATTTGAGGCCGCCCAGCGGCCCAGGCAGGATCGCGCAAAGAATCGCGGCTGTGGCGGCTATAATGGCGATGGACACAAATCTCTTCTTGTTCTTGAGCTTGGAGAAGGCGCCGTCTTTGAAGTGTAGCTCCATTGATTGATCCAAGACTCTTTCCGGAGAAACCATTCAAATTTTCTTCCAAGCTTCTTCTTTTCTTCTTCCATGCCAATTTCATGGGACACGAAATTGTGGAGTCGCACCTACCCAAACGTACTATCTTACTACCCTAAATCTCTTCTTTTGTAAAGTCCTTATAACCATGGCACTGGGAAATGGCACTGTCCAATGACAATGGTGCGCATTGTCCGGACTGTTGTGTTGATTATATCGTCGTTCTCCAAGAAGTTGCCCAATAGCAATCAGTAGCTGCCAGAAGACGCTTGGAAGAGTGTTCTTGCAACAGACTTCAACCTGAAGATTTTCACAACAGCGGCACAGACCATTGCAGTTGTTACAACTACCTTGCCGATTCCCATTCGTTGCAGGTTGGTATTCCGCGCTCTTTGCCTGTTAACGTACGGGCTGCTGGAACTAGAAGCCACTCATATGCAGGACTGCATATGATGACACTTAGCGTGCAAAATGTTGACAGAGATCCTGGTGGTATTTTGAAGTTGCCTACCAGCGTGTTCATACCAGCGCCTTGCTCGACAAACAGAGTGCTCACTTGTGTGTACAATGTTGAGAATATAATCGTTGTTGACCTACATTTCACCTCTTCAACTTGCGTGACTGTGCAAAGCCGTCATGAAATGTTAATATCATCGTGGGTATTGAGTTTCACTGCTGCCTTGTCAAGAAATCTAGGAAGGAAAAATGTCCGAGTTATAGTCGGCTACAGGTCTGAAAGTTTTAAGTGTTTACCTGAAATTGGGAGTATGCTAGATCTTACGACTTCCTTGTATAGCAGAAACAGCAGAGTCAACCTCGTAAAGCTGAGAGCTGTCTGAGGGAACTTCTACATACAGTTTCAAAGCGGCTGCAATGAAGACCTTGACTACTCTGGTTAAAGGATTACCACCAGTTTTTTTATGCCGATGTAGCCGAGTGCCAATCAAGAAGATTATAATCGATGCTGCTGCAGCAGCTGTAGATATAGTGAACCCACAGCTCCAGCTCACACTGTCTTCAACATAGACAATAAGCTGAAATAATTGCTCCAACCATCATGGACATGTAATACCAGCTGAAGAAGGTGGTGACCTGCTTCTGTTCAAGAGGATCCTCCTTATCAAATTGATTGCCTCCAAACGATGAGATGCAAAGCTGATATCCTCCATAACCCACGGCTACTGTGTAAAGTCCAAGATACAGTAGCGCTTTCTGTTCCAGTGTGCTAACAGAGCATGTTGACACGTTCATTTTGCAAGGAGAAGGTTTTAGTGAAGTTATGGTGAGTGTAAGTACCACCATTCCCTAAATGATAACATGTGAGAGAACGAAATTCTGTTCTCAACCTCTTACCAGAAGGTAGATGGTAAGAAATATGAGATTTGTACGATATTTTCCCCAGTAAGCACTGAATTATACTCATTTAGTACTCAAGAAAAATCTGAAAATGCAAACTAAGATAAAAGGAACAACATACCCAGAATATATGGTGATGTGCACCATCCACCTGTTGAGCCCTTGGCTGCAGACTTCCCAAACCAATCCACAGTCCCATCTTTGGTTGTTGCATCCTGCTGCTCCTGCTCCAATTCCTCATGAATCTTGTCCATTCCACAAGAAACAAGGATCAGCCCTACACTAATGAAGAACTAACACACATGTAAGTGCTCAAATAGTCTTATAAAGATTGTTCCACTAGAGGTAATTTTTTTCCCTTAGCCAATCAAATGAGTTGAGATCTAATAAAGTTGCCTACCACTTTGGGATGGTATCAACTAATAAAATTTTGAGTCATTAGAAGTGGTGATTCAGAATTGGGTGCTAAAACTTCCATACTAAATTTGAGATAAAAGATGAATTTAGAAAGTCAAGAAAGAATCAAATAGGAGCTTTTGCATTTTTTAAGGATTTCAATCATACTTAAATATATATGCAATAGGCATCTGCATTAAATTCAAGCACAATCATCAAAATTTCATACAAATATCCAGGTAGAGACTAGCAATTGAATTAGCCTGGAGCTCCCACACCACCTCATCACTGTCTATTGTGTGATATGGCTGAGGTGGGGGACATATATAACATTAGCTCCATGATCTCCAAGTTAAATTAAAAATGGTTATTTTGTTTTATTTTTTATTTTTTATGACAAGCCCATGTGGGATGAAAAAGATCCACCATATGTATCTTTTGCTCCATCATCATTATCATGTAGGGACCAAGTGCTTTGTATGTTGGAGGCCTATAAGATGTAATCTAAAGTGTCTATCTATGAGTACAACTGCTTCAAGGATTTGGTTATAAGGCTATTAATAAAGATGTGATTAGAAAGGCCTTTAACAAAATGAAGAGCTCTTGATATTAGAAAGTAGATTCACATTCCATCCCCAAAATCAAAGAATTGAAACATTCAAAAAAGACATTTCTACAAACACAAAAGTTTACCTAAATTTGAAAATGTGGCTTCACATTTGGTGCCAATCCACAATTCTTATATACAATGAAATTGGTATGGAAAAAATAGAAGAAGGTAGCAAGAAGGTTGAGGAAAGAATCTTGGATCAATCTATGAAGCTAAGTATCTTCTTCTTAAAAGATTGTAACTTTTCCAAGCTCGAGAATAAAATTTGTCCCCTTTATCATAGCAAATAAAGTTATAATTCATTTTTAAATCCTGCACTAGCAAGATATAGATAGAGGTGGAACTCTATCCTTAGACCACCAGAATGTTGAAATAGTGTTAAACTTTGTTTAAATTTATTTTATATACTAGTATTGGCTTTGAGATTTTGGATGTTATTATAAATTTATGTATGAGTATTGGAAGCTATTTGTTAGCAAGTCCTTTTAAATATATTTCTTTTACTACCATGACAACAAAAGGTTGGTATTGTTAATTCCCTTTATCAGTCTCCACCCAAACTAAACTTTGTTTAACTTTATTTTACGTACTAGTATTGGCTTTGAGATTTTAGATGCTATCATAAATTTATCTATAGGTATTAGAAGTTATTTGTTTATAAGTCTTTTTAGATATTTTTCTTTTACTACCATGATAGTAGAAGATTGGTATTGTTAATTCCTTTTATCAATCCTTACCCAAGCTAGTTTAGAAACTAGTTTACACATATGCATTTAACTAAAAGAGCATAAAAATGAAATTCTTAAGTGCTATCAGTTAAACATATTTGACATGATTAGAGAAACTCATTTGTTGGCTTGCATTTGTTAGTGTTAAGAACTCTTTTGATATTGAGCTTAGTTTCTCAATACTCACTAAATGATAAATTATTATATTTGCTAAGGCACTCTTATTATCATTCCTCATCTATTGGTCCCATTTCAATTGCACTAGTTATTTATGTAAAGTGTCTAGACCTACTAATTAAGAGATTATCTTGAAAATAACAGTGTTGTTTAGATTTGGAATATAATACCATTTCATATTTAGTTAGATTGTCCTAAAGACTAACTCGCAAACTAGGGTGAACACCTAAAGCATGCTTTTCTAAACCCTAAACTGGGGGAGGGCAATGAAGGGTTCCAAATGAATAATAAGGATAATGGGTAAATTGAGAATGATTGACCAACTTGAGATATTGTTATAGTTTCTTATTAGGCATATTTATCCTTGTTTTATATCTTTTTTAGGTCAAAGTCTAATTTCCATCCCATATTAGTTGGTGGAATATTCATATCCTTCCATTATGCCATTTGTATGCTGAAATAGCACTAAACTTTGTTTAGCACAGTTTGCATCCTTGTCTTGGCATTCAATGCTTTAAGATTATTTTAATATCACTATGTCTTCTAATAGTTTGCTCCTTACTTGTATGCTTAGGAGTTCAACTTTATCCTTTTGTTTAGTGATCCAAGATTTTGAAATTTTGAGTTCCACTTTATTGTCCTATGTGTCTAAGAGTTAGATTTTGCTCTATGGTTATCTTATAAATTGAAAACCATATGCACTACATTTGGTATCAAAGGATTATTTAGCAATTGCCAACTATGTCATCAACTTACACTAACAAAATATCTCGAAACTAAAAGACTCACAAGGAACAAACAACACTAAATTTATTATCCGTTACATTTGAGAGTTCCACCATACTTGAAACCTCAACCATAGCAAATAAGAGTATTAATTCTAAGTCAGCCATCATATCTATAAGAATTAGAATAACCTTGAATTCAAACTTATATATCTCAAAGAGCTCAATATCAAGATTTGATTTGGAACACTAAAATTCTAATTACAGTCACTTAGATTGGAATAGAAGATATTAACTCTCAAGTTTATAGACAAATCTAACTCATTGACATTAACACAACAACAATAATTTAACTCAACTCATCATAAAAATTCTTGTGACTAAATTGTGAAACTAATTTGCAATCTTCATTGAGATAATCCTAAAAGAAGTTCAAGAAATCATTAAAGCTTCACAATAGAAAACTCAAGTAGTATAAGACCACAAAAAACAATAATGGAATAGAATTAAAAGAAAAAGACACGAGAATTGAAAAAATCACAATTATGATATTTTTTATTTTTGAATATAGGATACAAGAATACTCCTAAAGCCATTTAAGAATCAAAATTTAAGAAAGAATCTTCAACTTAGTTTACAACAAAAAAACTCAAGAAAACCATACCCTAATACATTTAGGAATCATCATCCATTGGGATAAATTTTTAGAAAAAAATATACAAGCTAGAGTTTTATATATGGAGATTTATTCTCAAGCTTTCTTGGATTTCTCATATCTACCTAAATCAAAAGTACATTTGCTAAAGAGAAGAAATACAACATACACAAAATAAAATTAATTGAATCTACATGAGATTTCCAATCTTTCTAATTTAAGAAATTAAAAAACTCACTAGACAAAAATTCTTTTTAGGATACATCACACCTGTTGATGTAACCATACACAATAATTTAATGGATAAATTGAGTGCACTAACCAAACTCTAGAAACATTTTTACAAAGCTACATGGTGGACTTCTCAACTAGGCTTCACTAGTTACCATTTGTGGAGCTAGCAAACAACACCACAGTTCACTCATCCATGGGACTGGCTCCTTACTCAATCTTCTATGGACAAACAGTGGCCACCTTGGCTTTTTTAGTGAAGGGTGTGTTCTGCTGGTTGAAAACCATCTCACTGAGCTCACCACTATTCATCAGGTGGTAACTCAACATTTGGAGTTTGCTCGGGCCAGGATGACGTTCTATACAGAAAAATCTGACTCTCAACGCACTTTCTCAGTGGGGGTTTGGGTTTACGTCTGTTTCAAGCCCCAGTGTTATACATTGGGACAGCAAACAATAACTAGGACCAAGCTTCATCCAATGTTTTGTGGCCTGTTCAAAATTCAAGAGTGAATCAATGAGGTGGCATTTCACTTGCAACTTTTAGCTTCAAGCAGGTCCATGATGTCTTCCACATCTTCGACTTTAAGCTATACCATGGAGAGCCACCACAAGAGCAAGTTCCCTTCCCAGCCTTGTTGCCAAGGGATCTTCCTTTGCTCATCCCAGAAAGTATTGTTTGCATCAATGTGTGTCCACTGAGGAGTAGGACCATCCTGCATTTCCTCATCCACTGGTCCAGTACCCATGATAGTGATACTTGGATCACTCAGCAACAGCTTGAGGAGCGCAAGCTTCTTTTCAACTGGGTTCCGGTCTGGCCCTTGTGGACAAGATCATCACGGAACACGAGATTAGATTGAAAGGCAAAACTTCAACATGCTTGGAAGATTTTCTTGAGTTGCTGCTGAAGCTCAGGCAAAACACTATTAGGGACTTGATGATCGTAAGTACTTATATTTCACTTCGTTTAAACTTAACCAATGTTTAACAGAATTTACTTCAAGCTGCAACTGATACATCAATTAGCAATCTCACCCTGGACCATGGACATGCATGCTGGATGATTTACAAGCTTGGCCAAAGTCCATTCCAGGGACACAGATGATGAGATTGCTAATGTCATTGGCTCGAACATAATGGTGGAAGAGAGGGACATTCCTAAGCTTCCCTATCTGCAAGCAATCGTTAAAGAATCACTCAGACTTCATCCACCAGGACCTTTGCTCTTACCTCGAGAATGCTCCAAAACTTGCAAAGTGATGGGCTACAAAATCCTGGAAACTACTACTTTAATGGTGAATGCATATGCAATTGGAAGAGACCCAAAAGTTTGGAAGGAGCCCCTTAAGTTCAAACCCGAGAGGTTCTTGGATCACAACTGCTTTGATGTTGGTGGCAACAACTTGGAGGTTATTCCATTTGGAGCAGGAAGCAGGGCTTGTCCTGGAATATCTATAGCATTCTCCATACTTCACTTGACGCTGGCAAACTTGGTTCATGCTTTTCACTGGAGACTGCCTGCTGGAGTGGTGCATATTGACACAAGAAACGAGAAATATGGACTCACTGTGACCCTAGCAAAGAAGCTGGAAGCCATCCCTCTCTCCAAAACTAAGTCATGCTAGAGAATATTGTGCAAAAACAATACAATGCAAGAAATGTGATCAGAGTTCAGGTGGTCATCCAGCCCAGTAAGAGCATGACCGTGAACAAATATGCACTTAAGATGTGATGGAACATGTGTTGGTGATTGTTTGCTTTGTATTCATGAATCACCAACAAATTAGAGAAAATTTGAAATATTCCCCATTTTGTCTCAAGAGATAATGTTTTATACATTGATTCACTAAGCAGGCCAATTTCCTATTTCAATTCCGTTTCCTGGGAACATGAAAGGTGAACAAACCAATTTGAATTGTTTTTAACATACCTTCCGGATCATAGAAAAAAGCTTGTTTTACCTTCCCACTTTGCTGCGTCTTTTCAAAGATCTCAATGCCCCTGTCTTGTTTCCGACAAAGAAATCTTAGTGGATTGAAAGACGAGAAGAAAACCTCTATAAGTTGGACTGCAGTATTATAATTTTCCACATGAAATGCTAAGTGATCACTTTTGGCAAGCAAACTTAAAACTTACTAAATATGGAATGGTATTAGATTGCGAGTTTAGACATAGGAAGAACACCATTGTGTTCAAAACAATCTCTACATTTCGTAAATATGCCAAATTAGCAAATTTAGAGACTCTCTATAAATAGCAATTGGGACCAAATAAGATTAACACAAAGGATATGATAGTGAGGGTGTTTAGTAGACACGGTAAACTATCATCTAGCGATATTGAGGGATCAGTCTCAATTCGTAAAAGTTTTTGTCAAGCCAATGCAAGATAAAACAAAAGAGAATTAAGAACTAGGCCGAGTATGCTCAGTAAGAAACACATAAGAGTTCTTACCTTATGTTCATCTGGCTAAGTACATGTGCTAAGTGTAGTTTATTAACACTTGAACAAGAAGGACTAATAAAGGGTCTAGCAATATTGACCTCTTGTTGTTATAGTAGTAAGGAAAGAATATCTGAAAGGACTAGTTTAATAAGTAACTTTCAATACACATAGTCACATTCATGACACTCTCCCCTTCTTAGGGAAAATCGACATCTTTGTCAATACATAATGTAGTCTAGAACACCACCATGGAAACAACTCTAGAAAAAGTTTACAGTATTCACACTTTATGAGAAATGCACCAACTTAAATAAGTTATGAGGCAACCTTTTTTTCTAACGCAAATGTGTTACTAACTTAAACACCTTATAGCCATTGCCGACAAAGAAATGACTAACGAAGTTAGCCACCCTTGCTACTTTGGGTGTCACCCAGTTTACAAAAGTGTGATACGCCTCTGCCCACAGGGATATAGAGAGAGAAGCTAAAGGCTCCAGAAGCAAAGAAAGCAAACCTGTGGGTAAGTGTAAGGAACCAACTCCCCGAGGTGTCGAAGGCTAAAGGATCCTCAAAAGCATGACCAAAATGATAAAGAGTTTATTGAATGAGACCGAGTCCGAGACTGAGTTTGAGACTAAGTCCGAGACCGATATCCGATATCGGGTCTAAGACCGAGTCCGAGATCAAGTCTGAGATAGAGTCCAAGATTGGGTCCAAGACCGAGTCTGAGATCAAGTCTGAGACCAAGTCCAAAGTCGAGTCTGAGATTGAGTCCGAGACCGGGTCTGAATACTAATATAGGTCATGGGATGAAAGCCCAAAGTGTGTATCTAACGGGGGGGAGGCATGCAAGGGATTCCAAAAGTATAGTAGGGATAGTGAGGTCCAAGAACCAATCTTGAAGGAACTCTCTAGTGGTGCTTCCAAACTGACTTGAGGTAGGGTCAAGGGGCCTTGGGTGGGAGTGAGCATAGACTTGGGTGGTGCTGGAGGGGCCACCCAAGGAAGTGTTCAAGAGCAACTCCCACTCCCAGAAAGGAAACGAACTGTAATGCTCCTGACTCATATGGACTAGTGCCCCACTTGAGTACCTTGCAGCTCATTAGTCCTCACCCTTCTTAGAGGCTTGGGCCTTCCCTTTGAGATGGAATTAGGGGAGTAGAGGTATCCATACCAGGCTATTAGGCCACGGTATTTCCCCTTGGTGTCCCGAGGCAAGTGTTGCACCTAAAGCTTGGGATTTAGAGGGTCCCATAATCAAGTATTATTATACTAAGGGATGTTAGGGATTTGGAGGCTTGGTGTGTTTGGCTTCTTGTGCTTGCAGAGAGTGTAGCCAAACATTAAGTCCAATCTAAACCCGTGGATGGATGGCTAATGCTCAATTGCTCATGCAGTGAGTAGCTAAAACCAAGTAGGACCAAGTAAAAGCTGGTACAATAAGCAGAAACCTTAGTGAGGGAACTTAGCTAAAGCCAAGGCAATGTTGGTTGGATAAACGAGGTAAACTAGCAAATTGGAAAAGAAAAATTGTGGCTTACAATTTGGTATCGGAGCCTTTTCCTTAGTTCTAATGAAGGATAGAGGTGGATTGCTAGAGATGGCAAAGGTAGGGCATAAAAGAACCAAGGTGGAGACAGAACCTTCGTCAGAGTTGAAGCCTCCAGTTGGATAGGAGGCTAGGGATAAAGAATCTTTGCATAAGAAGGACTCTAGTGAGGGAACTTCCAAATAGGAGTCCGGTGGCAAGGTTCAGTCGTCCAAGGCTTGATTAAACATTCTAGAAGAATAATTGGCACAAACCAATGCCCTACTGGAGACTCTAGTACACAAGCTAAAGTGTGATAAAAAGTGAAAGAAAAAGCGAAAGATTGTAGATGCTGGCAGCGCAGAAGGTGCTGACCCTTCGGCAGGGATTGAGGCGGAACCAAACAAGGTCAAACAAACTGAAGTGAAATCAATCCCTCAAGCAGTTCCGAAGTACAAACCAAAGCCCCCACCGGTGTTCAAGGGAGTGAATAACTATAAGGTGGTGGAGGATTGGTTTTACAATATGGAGGATTACTTCTGAGCATTGTGGTTACTAAGCTCGGAGAAGGTCCCATGTGCCAAACCATACTTGGTAGATAATGCCAAGTCTTGGTGGAGAATAACAGAGGCCAACAAAGGACCGGTGGCCACTTGGGAAATGATAAAGGTAAGGATTCATGCGATTTACATAACTCCGAATGCTATTTTGCACCTAAGTGATGAGCTGAGCAGGCTGAAGCAGACTGGAACCATTCAAAAGTATGTGAATGCATTTATGGCAAAGAGGATACTTGTCATGGACATGGGTGGTATGGATGCATTCTATGCCTTCATATTAGGCTTGCAAACTTGGGCTCGAGGTGAGGTGATGCATTGGAACTCAGCCAATTACAAGAAAGCATAGGATGCAGCTATTAAGGTGCATTTCAATGATAACCTGCGAAAGGGAAATACAATGGGGTTTGGGTCCACATTTAGAAAAGGAGCTAAACCAAGGGGGACATATAGCATAGGAAAATTCAAGAAGAGTTTCTTTAAGAATGAGTCCTCAGGCTTTCGAAAAGGTAGATCTGGTGGCCAGCGAGCAAGTATGTGGGGGAGTCAAGCAAAAAGGGACAAACCCACGGATAGGAAGATCAAGTTTGTTAGTAGCATGGGAAATAACATATGTTTCAATTGTGGTGAAGCGGGACATTTTTCGAATGAATGTCTATACCTGAAGAAGGCTAGAGCCAATATGGCCATTAAGTCAGGTTAAATCCAAATAGAGGTATGTGATCTAGTCCCTAACTCAAAGTTACTCATTACACTAACAACTTTGGTAGAGAGGCTAATGAAGGACCGGTGGCCACTCGGGAAATGATGAAGGCGAGGATCTGCACGACTTACATTCCTCTGAATGTTACTCTACACCTAAGGGATGAGCTGAGTAGGTTGAAGCAGACAAGAACCATTCATGAGTATGTGAATGGGTTTATGGCAAAGAGGATACTTGTCACAGATATGGGTGACATGGATGCATTCCATGCTTTCATATCAGGCTTGCAAACCTAGGCTCGAGGCGAGGTGATGCATTGAAACTCAACCAACTACAAAGAAGCGTTGGATGGTCTCTTTTTACTTGACTCCCTCACATACTTGCTCACTAGCCACCGGATCTGCCTTTTCGGAACCCCAAGGACTCATTCTTAAAGAAACTCTTTTTGAATTTCCTTTTGCCATATGTCCCCTTTGGTTTAACCTCTTTGCTAAACATGGACCTCGACCCCGTCGTGTTCCCCTTTCGTAAGTTATCATTGAAATACACTTTGATAGCCACATCCAAGCCCACGGATAAGAAGGTTAAGTTTGCTAGTAGCATGGGAAAGAACATATGCTTCAACTGCAAGGAAGCGGGACACTTTTCGAAGGAATGTCCATACCCGAAGAAGGCCAGAGCCAATATGGCTATTAAGTCAGGTGAAATCCAAATTGAGGTATGTGATCCAATCCCTAACTCAAAGTTACTCATTACACGAGCAACTTTAGTAGAGAGTCGTTTGCGACATTTTCTAGCCCTCTGAGGGAAGCTTAGGGGTAGCTTTATTAAGATTTTTATTGACATGGGTGCTTCGGATAATTTTGTGGCTGCAGATATAGTCTGGCAAGCCGGACTAATGGGGCAACGGTTGGGCGAACCAAGGACTATAAAGTTTGTTCAAGGTAGCCAAAACACCAATGAGATACTTCGATAAGCAAGAGTTGAAGTAGGGACTTAGAAGGTAAACATGGATTTCACCATGTTGCACATGGCGAGATCTGACATAATCTTTGGGATGGATTGGTTCAATCAGTTCGTAGTAGCCCTACATATACAAGGTAGGAACCTTGTAGTATTAGCGAATGCCTGAGGAAAACAATCCAAGGTGGAGGCCTAGGATCTAAAGGTAGGGCAATGTAAGGCCAAAGACTCTTGTTTGAGTCTGGTATCTATGAAAGGACAACTCACTAAAGGAACCAAAATAACATTTCTGTGCTTACTTTCGATGAGGAGTGACAAAAAGATGGGATCAAAAGAAGTGCCTTTGGTGATCCAACGGGTGTTAGACTAATTCCAAGATACCATGCCGAAAGAGCTATCGGCGGGGTTACTCCCCGAATGATCGATAGA